TTTCACATTTAGAAAAAAAAATAATCACATTCTACAGTGCAAAAATATAAAAAAAATTGAACAGATGTATCTATTTCTACTGTACACAGAACATGCTGCATTCAGGTGGTAGTAAGTCACAACTATATCATATACACATCTCAACATTTACTTTCTGCAGGATTTTAAAAATATGCCTACTGCTGTGACCTTAAGGGCTGTTGCTGATTATTACTAATATTTTTTTTGAATGATCTGTTTTTTTTTTACTGAACACCTGAATTTCTCCTACGGGGATCAATCAAGTATATCTACTGTGGATTTGTTGCATTATCATTGTCTTCCACCTGCTAGAGGAGGTGTTCCACTGAGCCAGGCGCCATGTGAAGAGAAACTATTCACCACGATCCTGAGAGTTCCTCCAAGAACAAGACTTTAGTTTTGCTCATGTGGCAACAGTAAACCCCTCAGTGAACCAGGGCACCTGTTTGGAGACTGCTCCTGTGGATTTTAAGTTGTTTTCTTATGTGATCATTGACACCTACTGTACTGTCCTCTTTGACTTTCTTATACCATTCGACTGAGCGCTTACACAAACTTCTTATAACATTGTTCCTTAATCTACAACAGACCTGGCATTGTTTAAGCTTCCTCACCCCTCATTGACCCCCTCAGTATGTGTCATTTCAGTAGAAGTATTTCCTCAAACACAACCATTAGTCTTTAAACACACCACTAATTGCAGCACAGTGGCCAATCTTGACACACTCAAAGGATTCTTATTTTATTTCCATCACTTGAATTAGACGACTTGAAAATAAAATAAACACTCAAGTCTACACAGAAAGCCGACGGGATTTTTCTTCAACTGTGACTTGGGCAATTTTCAGTCTGGGTATTAACAGTAACATCATATATAATGTTGAAATGCTGCTAAACTAATTGCACCTCCGCGGCCTGCCCTTAGGCCCCACCATCTTTGATAAGTGTCAATCTACGCCAATCACCAAGACCACATCTCACTCTTCTTTCTCGACCAATAATCTCCCCTTTGAGGCTAACACCAGTAGACAAATTGCAGTTGGCAGCAGTGGTTAGCGAGATGCTCTTGATTTGTCTATTCTTTTCCCCCCGGATCGCTTCACTGGTCAGAAATGTCTACACAGTATTAGTTTTAGTTCTTCATCTTTTTGCGAGAATGACATGACACTGTAGCACAAATTTGCTTGGATACTGTTATTGGAAACTCTCCCAAAAATCTGAGAAATTTGTAGGTTTGTGTTCTTTGCATGGATTATTATGCAAAAAAAAAAAGGGTTCTCACATTGGACTGCAGGTTTTAATACATTTTAATTATTTTGTTTGCATGCTTATGTCTTTTGCACAATCTGAGTGATGCAAAATGTGACATATACATTTCTCCATTGTTTATCTTATCTTATCCAATTAATTTACCAATTTTAAATGTACTCTACAACCCGGAGTCCACAGTTTTTTTGAGGTGTACGAATCTCAAATTTACAATATTTTCATTTTGAATATTGCCATTGGTATTATCGGTAATATTGGCAATAATTTATCGTTGAAATAATTGCTAACCGCATAAAACATGGACCCCAGTATTTACCCTTGGTGCCTAGAGTTCACTGGACCTTCTCGCACCGAAATCCCAACTCTGCAGTCCCCCCCTTAGACAATTTTACATCGTCAATCTCTCGCCAATCACCAAGACCACATCTCACTCTACTTTCTCAACCAATTAATCTCCCCTTTGGAGCTAACGCCAGTCGGCAAATTGCGGTTGGCAGCAGTGGTTAGCGAGATACTCTTGATTCGTCCATTCTGCCCCCCCCCGGATCGCTTCACGGTCCAGGAAATGTTGACTCACCCATTGTTTAACTTCTTTTTTTTTTTTTATCTCGACCCGGGGCTGACTGCATGCCATCGGGCCGGGCATTAGCGGTCCCATTAGCGCGGAGGTTGGGTTGTAAATCTGTGGCTAGTGAAGGGTGGAAGTCCTCCGCTCGCTGATAAATGGTGCAGTGAACTTTGGGAAAGCGGAGAGCGTAGTAGAGGCACACTTTGGTTTGAGGGGAGAGGAAAAAAAAAAGGTTGGGTGGAAGAGAATGTTTTTGGACTGGCCTGGAATCTTTTCTCATCTTGTGTGATTCAACCCACAGTGGGGTCACGGGTTAAAGGAAGGAGAGGACCCAGATAGCAAGCGGATGTGGGCCACATGTGGCAAACATGTGGGTCACATGGCATTGTTACGGCCCAAATGAAACAGATGTCAGCCAGATGTGGGCCACATCCTGCCTACCATATGTGGCCCAAATATAGCAAATCAAACATGGGCCACATGTGGCAAATATGTGGCAGTTCTGTAAATGAAAAATGGTGGATGAAACAGATGTCAGCCAGATGTGGGCCACATCCTGCATACTATATGTGGCCCAAATATAGCAAATCAAACATGGGCCACATGTGGCAAATATATGGCAGTTCTGTAAATGAAAAATGGTGGATGAAACAGATGTCAGCCAGATGTGGGCCACATCCTGCCTACCATATGTGGCCCAAATATAGCAAATCAAACATGGGCCACATGTGGCAAATATGTGGCAGGTTCTGTAAATGAAAAATGGTGGATGAAACAGATGTCAGCCAGATGTGGGCCACATCCTGCCTACCATATGTGGCCCAAATATAGCAAATCAAACATGGGCCACATGTGGCAAATATGTGGCAGTTCTGTAAATGAAAAATGGTGGATGAAACAGATGTCAGCCAGATGTGGGCCACATCCTGCATACTATATGTGGCCCAAATATAGCAAATCAAACATGGGCCACATGTGGCAAATATGTGGCAGGTTCTGTAAATGAAAAATGGTGGATGAAACAGATGTCAGCCAGATGTGGGCCACATCCTGCATACTATATAGAGATACAGATATAGAGATACTGCACTTGGTTGGTTTCATTCTTATCTTTTAGAAAGAACCTTTGCGGTCACCATGGGTGATTTTACCTCCTCAACAGCCCCCATCACCTGTGGTGTGCCGCAAGGTTCTATTTTAGGCCCCATTTTATTCTCTATTTATATGCTCCCCCTAGGACACGTTATGGCCCGTCATAACGTGTCCTTCCACTGCTATGCGGACGACACACAGATCTACCTCCCGCTGAGACCAAACGACCCTGGAAGTCTGGCTGCTGTGGTCGACTGTTTTAATGATGTGAACCGTTGGATGGCCCATAACTTCCTTCAACTCAACACCTCCAAATCAGAAGTCCTCCTCATCAACCCGCCTCCATCCATATCCCACATCCAAACCCACCTCGGCCCCCTGTCCTCAAACATCACTCCCTCCGCCCGTAACCTCGGTGTCATTTTTGATTCTCACCTCACCTTCCGCTCCCACATCAATAAAACCACCCAAACCTGCTTCTATCACCTCCGCACCATCTCTAAGATTAAAAACATTCTCACTCCTCCCGATCTCCATAAAGTCGTCAACGCCCTCATCTTCTCCCGCCTCGATTACTGTAACTCCCTCCTCTCCGGTCTTGATGCTAAATCCCTCTCCCGCCTCCAACTGGTTCAGAACGCAGCAGCCAGACTTCTCACTGGTTTTAACAGAAGGGAGCACATCACCCCTGTTTTAGCGTCCCTCCACTGGCTCCCTGTGCGATTTAGAATTGATTTTAAGATTTTACTGATTACTTTTAAAGCTCGTTTAGGTCTGGCACCAAGCTATATTTATGAACTTTTAACCCCCTACGAGCCCCCCCGCAGCCTTAGATCCTCGGGCAGGTCCTTGCTGACCATTCCAAGGTCGAGGCTCCGGACGAAAGGTGATCGAGCCTTTTCTGTCCGGGCTCCTCGGCTTTGGAACGACCTGCCCGAGGAGATAAGGCTTGCACCATCAGTATCCTCTTTTAAATCTCTTCTTAAAACCCACTTTTATAAAACAGCTTTTAATTGTCAGCTTTAAACTTATAATGTTGTATTTTACTGTCTGTCCTGTCTGTTTTGTGGTCTTGTGTTTCCTCTGTTTGTCTTGTCTTCTTGCATTCATTCTTATTGTTTTAACTTTGTATTATGACTGATGTATTGTTTATTATGCTGTGCAGCACTTTGTAAACATTGTTTTTGAAAAGTGCTTTATAAATATAAATAAAAGATTTATTATTATTATTCGGTCGTCCTCTCTATTCATATAGTAGCCAGAAGTTCAGTTTGAAAGTGTATTTTAGTATTATGTTCATCCACCATAGAAGGCAAAGGTACTGTTGAAGTTTTTACCCTTGTCAATCAGATTTCCTTCCCAAATTAAGTAGTTACTAAGCTCTTTAACATGCCAAATACTGAGGTGTAAGATCAAGTGCACACAGAGAAGTCCTGTATCCTCGCAAAGAGGACTGAGTGTTATGAAGTAACAGAGACAAGAAAGGTCTGGGCCTAGCAAGTAGCTGAGACAAGACAGGTCTGGTTCTGCTTGTATACTGGACAGAGGTCTGCCGTCTGCATGTATACTGAGACATAGGTCTGCGGTCTGCATGTGTACTGAGACAGAGTCTGGGTTCCTGCATGTATACTGAGACAGAGGTCTGTTCATGATGTTATACTGAGACAGAGGTCTGGTTCTTCTGCATGTATACTGAGACAAGAGAGGTCTAATGGCCTTTCAGACCGGATCACGCGTTGCGTGCACTTTCAATGCAAAGTCTATGGAGACGAGCGTTCGGGAGCGGCACAACGCACGTACTTCGAGTGCAACGCTGTGCGTTTTGTTCATAGAGACGCACGGATTTGCCGGAAAGTCCAAAGGGAGGAGCAGGAAGCGAAAAATCGTCGCCCACAGGGAGATGGATTCTGCTCATTCCTTCCTTGGGACGTTCGTGGGCAGCGACCAATCATTAAGCGTTCTGCGCGGCGCAACTGAAAATACTCGTAAACAGCCAAAAACAGGACCACACACCCAAGGGGCTCAACCAGAACTCAAACCAGGGGTGACAATGGGGTAACTGTGGCTTGTGAAAATAAGCGTTGTCATGCTCACCGTCATTACCACTTTATGCCAACTGCTTCGATGTAGTTTGCCGATGCGGAAATACCGTTTAATAATTGAAAAAAACGTATGCCGCACCACCATGAACACATACTGACTGTTATATAAAGCCCGTGGAAGGCTCAGCACAAGAGACCACGCTGCAAAGCTACATGATTGGGAGAAGAACTGACAAGAAGCCCGCTAGCTAAACTCTGTTGAGCATCAGAGCCGGCCGCTACTTCCAGCACTTCCAGGTGCGCGTCATGACATTCTCGTTCTGAGACTTCTGCGTACTGAAAACTAAGAATGCGTCTCTGGTGAGCGGGCTTGTCAGCGTTTTCCAGAGCGATTGGCGGTCTGAAAGCACCATTAGTCCAGCAATGTATACTGCGAACACAGAAGAGCCTGTGTCTTCCATGTGCTTGAAACAGAGAGGTGAGTGAGTGAGTTTTCGCCCATTCTTCTTTGTCAAAACATGAACAAAATATGAGTTTAAATCCCGTTTTATCAAACCGCACACACTGTCACATACGATCACATTTTTTCCAAAAGATTCAAAAATCTGGAGAGCGTAGGTGTAGATTCTCTACCTCTTGATTTTGGTTCTAGCGGCCAAGACTGAGGATCCATAATGGCCATCATAATCAAAAGACTGTCTACTATTGGGAGTCTGCATTTGTTTACAGCCAGAAATGTAATCTGAATAAACTGCCGCTATTTGCGTCTCAGTTTTTGCATTCTTTACTTTTCTAACGGCTAACTTTCCTGCTCTCGCTGTCGACTGTTTGAGCTGAGGGGAGTCTGTGCTTCAAAGATTCTGCGACCGTCCCTGAACATCTTTTACACATTCAATTTAAATGGTTCAAGGAGTGTGTGAGAGATAAATATAAAGATTGAGGAGTAACATTCAAAAGCATGTGTAGCAGCAGTGTTTTGTTTAATAACTGGCGACCCTACCTTTGTGATCGTCCCAATGAAATAACAGTTGTTGACGTGACATTTGCAGACGGATCAGACCACCACCACTGTCTTTTTCCCTCAATTCAATTAAATGTATTGTTGTGTTGCCCTAAATCACAACAGAAGAAAATCTGTGTTGCCAATCTATTTATCAAGAATCAAACCGTTCAAATACAGGAAATTCCACAATAACAAACTCAAAGATGAATGTTTCTCTTATCTGCTCCTGTGCAGAAAACAGCTGTGACCATCTGTACCCCCCATCTCTCTTCATGGTTTTACCCTATTTTACGTTAATGATAAATCTATTCTCGGGATCTGGCATTCACCTGCACATAAGGCCATGAATCTCTGTTCTATCTGTGTTTGCCACAAAACATGACATGTAGACCTGACGTCGTTGGTCTGACACACATTGGCTACAAGTATCAACCATCTTAAGGATCTGAGTCCAATTCATTTCTCAAGGAAGTTCTCTGTTCTGATGCACGTTGCAACACATCATATAAAGGGTTTTGTTTTTTTGTTCCATGTGAAAGAACGCTGGGGGAATAAACTGAGGGTTAGATGTGCGTGAGATCGCTGCTGGCCTAGTCTCTTTCTCGACCCGGCTACTGTCAGAGGTCGTCCATCCGTGAGTCTCCCACTCATTGTGTTTGTGAGTCTTTATGGTTTGGTTCGTTTCTCCTGATTAATACTGATCAACAACCTCCATTTTGCTTCAAAAATCTTGTATCAACTTCTCAATATCTAAATATCTACTATACTGTTTTTGGGCTACACCCAAATACATCAAAATGCTTTTAAATGCTTTTGAATCTCTGTTGGTGCTAATCTATCTCATTGATCTAGGCATTAATCTAGACTACACTCATATGATCTTTTTGCATAGTCAACATTCACTCATGTGTGAACACATGTGAATTTGGCAAGTATCTAATAAAACTGTACATAAACTGTAATTAACTTTATCTACTTTTGAAGTAAATGCTTGTGAAATGGTCCCTTTACCATTTGATATTAGCACTGGCTGGAAATATTCTCTATTTTTGAAAGCATCTATGGTTGATGCATTTATCTATTCCTATTTCTACACTATTGTGACTCTAAAGTTTGGCTGCAGTTTGAGCCAAGGCATATTCCTAATTTGTGACTTCTGTCACTTTTAATATCTCTAACATTATTCTCATTCTAATATTTTATCTGCTCTATCAGAAGGATAACATTGTAGGGTACTATTTTAACTCTTACGTGGAAATGTTTATGAAAAACAAAGGAAGGACAATTCTACTTTTTTACTACTACTAAAAACGCTACAATACTCATACTTTATCATTTTAAAACATTTTAACAGTTGCTCAGTCTCCCAGACTAAAAAAGTCAAAGTTTTTGTCTGTCAGATGTCTGAATACTTAACATGTATATTGCATTTGGTCACAGGTTCTGGTTGTAGCAAAAGCATCAGCAATAGACGTTTTCATTGGCTGGTTCTTGTTCTGCAAATGGCTGTGTCCAATAGATCATCAGATGTCCAGAAGCTAGGGACAAACAAAAACAAAAGAAAGAATCATGAGTATCTCTCTCATTTAGCACTCATCAATGTATGATTTCAAAAATATAAACATCACTCCCCAGTTTTTCTCTCAGGTCCTCAGATCCTCAGGTCCTCATGGTCCCCTGAGGGTGAGTCTCAGTCGTCATCAGGTCAGGTCATAGAGAGAGATGTCATCTTGGACATCAGTAGGGTCCAAGCCATGGTTTGGTTTCTCCAGATTCATTCTGGTCACTCCAGGTACATCAGGTCACTTGGGTTGCTCTTTGCGATGCACTTCTGGTCAATGGTGCAGTGTCTCAGTTCCTGTACACAGCTTGTAATGCAGTAGTTACTCTCTATGGTTAAATCACTTTGATTCTACTTTAAAGACCATTTCTATTCATGCTGTTGCTAATGTCCCTCAGACAAAAGCAAGCGCAGTTTACTTCTCTAATTTGTGTTTTTATCAGATCTAATCCTAATCAATGTAATTACTTCACACAGTACAAAATCAAAAAATCAAAAGTGTCAGGACAGATCAATTATGTCCATGACAATATAGAATTCAAATGAACATTTCTGGTCCCAAAAAATACTGATTCAACTAAAGATTCAAGTGATAGACAAATATTGGTTTACATTGGAGTAAACTTTTAAAATGCTTTTTTCTCATGTTCTGCTTTTTCATGTATCTATATGTAAATGTGAATGTGTGAGTGTATGTGTGTGTGTGTGTGTGTGTGTTTGTGAATTTTGGGGTTTGTCTCTCCAGACTCCTCGAACCACCTGTAGGTCTCAAAGGTCACACTGTGGTGATGCAAACCAACTGGACACACTTTCAACTCCCTCTAGGTCTCTCCCTGACGCTCCACCCATCACGTCTCCAGATACCTCTCTTTCATGGCCCCGGTCTCACTCCCACTTACTTCTGTAGTGGGGGGAGGGGCAAGGAGGTGGCATTTCCCTTTGCTCTTTGATCTGTGACCTGTGGCTGGGTGGGCGTTGCGCTGTCCAGTGTCCAGCAGTCAGGCCCGTCCTAAGGGCTGTGCGACCTGTGCCGTCGCACAGGGCCTCGCACCACACAGGGGCCTCGCAATCTTCCTTCCTTTTATTTTATTTTATAAATACACTAGTTCAAGGGTCCCCAAAGGGCAGACTGCACTCCAAATTTGGAACCCTAAACCCCTTTCTCTGGACCTCTTTGATTTCGTTTGATCAAAAGAACATTTTTACAAGTAAAGTCAAATTTTCACCAAAAGCGATTTGTAAACAGGCAGGCGCGCGGGCAGCTATGTATGCAACGGGTCCTCCGAAAAAACTGTCAGATAACTTTAGCAGTGTCTGAGTGAGATACAAAGAAAGTAACGGGAATGATCGCAGTGTAGGAGAGATGGATACTCGCGGAGGAGGAGCAGTGAGACAGGTGTGAGCAGAGGAGCAGACCCCTTTGTGTGAGCAGAGGAGGAGGATCAGCGGTGTGACAGGTGTGTGAGCGCTGCTATTGCCAATGTTTAGTCCGAATATCCACATCAAAAACATATTTTTAAAAGCATTAGCAAACACACTGTATGTCTAGCTTTAGCTAGCTGGAGTGTTTTTGTTGTGGTCAGAGTGTGTGGAGGAGGAGGTGAAGAGTATTTTGTTGTTGTCAGTGTGGAGGAGGAGGAGTGTATGTTGTCAGAGTGTGTGGAGGCATGGCAAAAACGTTATTTGATGAGAAAAAAATAATATTGACTCCGCCTCATAGCCATTTTGGCGCATTTTGCCAAAATCTAACTATTAGAAGAAAAAGACTCCTTTTGGTTCAATCTTTTGAGTTGCTCTACCATTTTGCCACAGGACGAAAGAGACATGTCAGCTAAAAAGACCGCGACCAATATTGCACGTAGAGTGTGTGTGCGTGTGTACGTGCGCGCGCCAAACGCTGCATAGGAGCGAAGACACTCGGTTACGCGCGTGCTGATCTCGTCAAGCACCGCGCGAGGTGGTGCTGAATTCATGTCAAAGATTATAACAGGAAAAACTTTCCTCAGATCTGGGAAAAAAGTGTCAGGGCAGGGCCTCGCGTTTCGAGTTCGCACAGGGCCTCGCACCCCCCTTGGGACGGGCCTGCCAGCAGTGACCTCTCGTACAGTGAGGCAGAGTCTGAAAAACAATCCTTGAGACGGCCAATTTAAAAAAACAATAGATATCAGTATGCGAATGAGATTGTTTTTCTCTCTGAAGTCAAAACAATTTTGGAGCGCTCTGGGTTTTCCCAAGCGCTATGTAAATAAAAGATTACTTATTCTCTTACTAATGATGACATTTTAAAACCAGAAACTCTCAATATAAAAAACAAGACTCAAATCTCAAAAAACCTTAACTTTAAAATATGTGTTATGTACTTTTGTACTGTGTGATGTTTTTAATCTTGAACATCTTGGGTTTCACTTTATGGACTTTCCCTTTTACACTTATTTATCTCAGCATCTAT